ACGTTGGCCAGGCGATCGAGCGCTCCGGTTGGCCGGTGAGGACTGACCCTCGGGCGCAGAAACGAGAAGGCGGTGCAGGAGGGCTAGCCAGATAGCACGCACCAGATCGGAATCCTAGAAGCCGAAATGCATGAGATTGGGCAACGCGCAATGACGTAATTGCTTCAAATAAAGGGTAAATAATAAACCTTACATATACTGATGTATACGGCGAACAAAAAATAATCTTTACGGAAATTAAGAAAGCTGAACTTTCAAAATCGGTATATCAGCCAGAAAGAAGATAGGGAAATCTGGGGGACCCACTGATGAGCCGGACCCCTCGCAGCTGTGCCAAGCAGCGGCAGAATGCCAGCAAAGCACGTGTCTGGGCCTTGTAGTTAGTACCTGGACTGTTAGTATGGTAAGTAACAACATCAGGAAACCTTCCCTTGACAGCCATGACCATGTCAAACTTTCTCCCGGTAAATAGCAGTTCTAACATGCCGCGGTGATGCAAGCATTAAGTGGCTTACTGGGAGAGCAGTAGAATGCATTTTCGAGCCTTTATCTTCCACATGGAATTTCGGTTCCCGGTGAAATCAGTCGCGTCTAGTTCAAAGTCCTATCAGCATCCCAGTTTGTTTTAGTTAATTTAAGGGAAGTACGAGTAAGTGCCCTTGAACCTCTTATTTGTACAATCAGTCTACCACGCTAGGGAAAGGATAGCAGCAACTGAAGGGTTGTCGGACTATAAGTGTCAATGGGTACGTGGTGGGGCACATCTCACCACAGGCGACCGATCAGCTAGGCGGTGGGGGAGAGAGTGAGGTCGACCCTCAGCGCAGTTCTTTCCGCCCTAAGAGCAATTCGGTGCGGTTGAAAGCTAAAAGCCGAGGGTTGCCAACTGACGGGATTACTCGGAAGCCGCAGTCAACCCAGTGTGTCTTGTTGTGTGGAGTGGCTTACAGCGGGCTGAGAGACAGGCTGCAATGGCTCCTTCTTAATGTGGCCTTTACGGCGTTCCCAGGCGGGAGATTAACTAGTAAGGTGGTGTTGTTGTGGCGCATTTTGGAGGGTGTTCCAAGCACACCGTCTGCGCCCTCCCCTCTCTCCGGTCTTCTCGACTCTTGTGTCGACATGGGGTTCAGGTGCGAGAGTGGAGTACATCCGGTGAATCTACTTCCACTATAGCCCTGCGAGAGTCACAACGTTGCCTCAGCTTCCTGAAGCTCGTGGTGGACATCGTCGAACTGTCGGTGGGCCCAAATAGTGGATTCATCAAAATGTACTACTAAACATAGTAAGATCCACAGTGAAGAACATCTAAAGCAACGAAAATGTATCAAACGATACGTCGTCTTGCGCCGCGATACTCAAAGAAGAATTTATAGACCCAGTGTTATTGAAACATAGTGAGTAGCGTGTTGTTGGTGT